AATCCTGAGTTCATTGTCTTCTGTCCCTCACTGTGGTTTAGGATCATAGCAGGAACATTGGCACAGAGTCACTGAGACCCAGTGTAGTTACAGCAAAACGTTCCAGAGGTTTTGCCCAAGCAAATATGCTGCACATTCATGTCATATTTGCCACTGTAGGACTTTGCTATTGTTTGTGAATTTGATCTTGCATCATTTGCTTCTTGTCTCTTTGGACAGTGTGTGTTTTTGAGAAGAAGTTCTTACTTTGGCTTGTTCCCAGGTATTGAATTGTCCTTCTTTTAATGTTTAATAATATCTTTCTCTCATTATTATAAATTTATAGAAAAAAAATTTTAGTCTTATGTTATTAGGAGATTGAATGAGTTGTTTGTGGCCTGAGTTTATTTTCTAGTCTATTAAAGTGGTGTTTTCTAAATAATAAGTTCTAAACCAGAGGCCACAAACTTGTTAGAGTTCCTTGTATACTCCTTGCCTTCTCCTGGCAGTAGTGACTTCCACACTGGATAGACCATTTCCTGCAGCTTTCATCTGCTCTTATTTCCTCCATGTATTCAGTACATGCAGGTTGTGGCTGCTGTTCTCACATCCAGTTGAGTACTCACTATGCTGCAAGGGTTTGATGCTTCTCCTGTGTGACAGAGAAGGATGCAAAGGGAAGAGGCAAACACATCTCAGTGGGAATTGATTTATGCAGGAGATACCTGTGATTAAGCTCCCTACCCACTGGATGTCACTATTGTTCCACAGAAATTCACCCATGGAATATTTATCTAGCACTGAGGGCTGACAGCAAAGACCATTTGCCTGCAGCAAACTGAAAATTTCTAATTGTATTTGCAGGCATATTGTATATTTATGTTCATTTTGCAATTGAATTTTATATGAAGTTTCACCATTTTATACTAATAAGAAAAGAGAGCTTTGCCAAATCTTCAGCTGTGATGACTCTGGAGGTGCAGATAGTGAGTCATGAAACCCATGAAGCAGAGGAGCTTGCAGTCATTATACTCAAGCCACTTGTTCTCATGATTATTCTCTTACTCTGCAGTTGCTGGAGGTGATCTCAACATGGTGAATGAACATTACCAGTCTCCTCAAATTTGCTTCGTGCATTAGTTATTTTCTTTTCCCAAAGATGTGCATTCTGTGTGGTGTGTTACTCTGAAATGGCTCTTGAATATTCCATGAGCTGGGTCTCTGAGAGGCCAAGCAGTGCCTTGGCAAGGAGGAGATCTGGGTGCAAGGGCTGGGTTACACTCCCAGCACTCAGCCCCTGTGTGATCCAGCAAATCACCTCAAATCTCTCATATCTGCTTGCCATGGTCTCTCTGTGTCTCACAGAAAGCCCTGACTGCCCTTAATGTGTTTGGGGTGCTACAATGAAATGAATCAGTCTGGTGATTCCATCTAACATTCATCTCAACATTGTCTAAATACACGTAGGTGCCAACCCAGTGACAATGACACTGGGCATGGAAGAGTCCTGCACTTTGTCTGCAGCTTGAAAAGCCCTGATCTTCAGTGGTAGCCCCAGAACACCATACATGTCCCAGGAAAAGGAATAGTAAATGACTAAAAAATCCCAAAAATGAACAGAAAAAAAAAAGAAAAATACACACATCTTCAAGACCCATTGCTGCTCTCCTAAAATTGGAATATGTAGGTGGTATCAGCTCCATTAAAGAGGAACCAGGTCATTGGAGACATTTGGTCACACCTCCTTCCTCAACTTAGTGCCTAAAATGCTTGTGTGAAAGCTCCCAGGTTTGTGAGAGCCATGGTAGCTGCTGTGGCTCTTTGACATCCTCTGAGGATTGCTTGGCATCACCTCAGTGAGGTTTTGACAGTTTTGTGAGAGACTGGCACCAAACTATCCAAAAACCAAGACAAAGTGGGATCAAGATTTTAGATCCTGGAGAGAAGCAAAGGAGAAATTTCTTTGCTGGAACCTTTGAGGCTTCAGCACTTCATTTGTATTCAGGAGAGGGGCAGCCTTTCATGGGGACTAAAAGTTGCTTAGGCAAGACCAAGTCATTCCCACAAGATTATTAGAATTGGTGACTCTGGTGGCCTTGCCACCCAAACCAAGTCACTTCTGGAGTGTTTCATTTGACAATGGTGAGGCTCAGGTTAGCTGAGTTCATGTGGGTTTTGCCCACATGAGAACATGGAGTTCATAATGTGCTTTAAGGGGCTGTGGAGCTGGTTCAAAATGTTTTCTAAGCCATAGGCACTAGAGTGGGATTTAAAACCTTGGCTCACAGGCCTTGGGCTGTGCTCAAGGTTCAGAGAGTTCCACTGGGTGTGTTTTGTGCATGGTCAGCCAGTGGCTGCATTGCCAATGACCATGGCAGCAATCACACACTGGCCCTGACGTGTTTGGAGACACCTGCAGCTGCAGTTCCCAGGCTGGCAGGGAACTGGTGATCTGAGCATGTGTGTGCATGAATACACCTGCTGGATTTCTGTTACCCATCCATGATTAATGGCAGACCGGCCTAATTTTCTTTTTCATGCCTATAATTGATTATTCAAAGGGAGCTACTGGTGGTTTTACAGGTATCACTTTCTGAAGGAGGCTGTAGATTGGTTCTTTCTGAGTAATGTTTAGAACAAGGCATTAAAGAAACACAAAGCCTAATAAGTCCAATTCAATTATAGACAACTCTCACAATCACAGTCCATTAAGAGGTTTTAGAAGATGCATTGAATATTTCTGAATAACAAAAATTCTTAAGTAATAGTATGAAATTATTTTCTGATTGCAGTTAGCAGTCCTAAAATGAAATATAAAAAATAATTTTATTTTTATGTGTATTTATATTTGTACACACACACACACGTGTGTGTGTGTGTATGTATGTATATATGAACATCCATATGTTTTGGGGCAAATCTCTTGTGTTTTGGCAGTGCCTAATGTTAGTCACCACTGCAGAGATGAAAGCCTCTGAAGTACTGGGATGGTTGTTAACATGAAGTTTATAGCAAACTCTAATGCTTCAGTACAGAGGTAACCAGGATGTGCTGGTAGAAAACTGAATCCTGCAGTAGCTTGGATAATTAAATGTGTATTGACTTTTTAATAGCAGCTTCCAAGGTACAATTGAGGTGCAGCTCTGCTGTGCTGCTGAAGTGTCTCAAACACTTGCACTGTTAATGGTGTGGGGTCCTGGTACTCAGGGAAATGGGGTCTCTCTTGCAGGGCTCAGTACAGCTCCAGCTTCCACCCTCAGCTATTTCCTCACTACAGTCCTTGAAAAAGAGAATGGTTTCATTCCATGAAAAAAACCCCAGCCCAAACCCTTTCAAGGGTATTAGTTCTTTTAAGAGATGTTTCTGTCTTTGTTTTCATTGTATTGAGCATGTTTCAAGGTGATTTTCTATAATTGGGTTTTTTCAGTAACAATTCAGGAGAACCTTCTGTTAAGGTTTTGCTTTTTCTAATCTGCTGCAGTGAGACTGCCTTTTAGAAATGTTCCTTCCCAAGTGATTGAAGATGTGCAGTTTACAAAGCCAAATCAAGTTGCAAAATGGAGATAATTAAATTACTGACTTCTATAAAGGTGCTGCTGTATTATTTCATACCCTCCCTTCCTGATAATCAAAATAAGAGGTATGATTTATTTGCAAATATGGGGGATATTCTATTCTTCTGCAGCCAACAAAATACATGCTTTTGGGAGAAGGAAGGCAGGGAATAGCTGGGGTACAAATCTGTATTTTGCCCACAAGCACTGGTGTATGACTAGACATTAAAACTGAATATGTGTGAATTCTGTAATGTCATTTGGGTTTTGGTAAGAGAGGAAAATGATTTGTCACTGATTTGTGTAAAAGGATTTTTGAGTGTTCTCCTCTCACATCAGTGAGTAACCAGTTTTCTCTGAAAGGTCTTTGCAGCTGTAGTATGTCTAAAATGCACAGTGTTTAGCATTTTAAGTGATGAAGCTTTATTTAGTTATTAGAGGGACACTGTGCAAAACATAACACACAACCTTAGCAAGCCTAGCCCAGCCAATAAACAGAAACAGAAGAAAATGATGGATTTTAATGGCTTCCTCAGCTACATAAATGCCTTTGACAGTCCTGAAAAGAGAATTCCTAATGAGAGCTGAAACAAATGTGTGCAGGAAGTGGTCTTGCTTTTGCTGCTGCACATTTGAGTTCCTCTAATTGCATCAATAAGGAATTTCTGCTCCTCATCTAATGAATGCCTTTTGACTATTTTCTGAAAGGCAACTGGATGTAGGGATAAACACTGGCACCTTTTGTATGAAGTCACATAAACAGGTTTCAATTGCTAGCTATTGGCCCTAGAAACACTGTGGTATAATGCAGTACAGTAAATACCACTGTACCTTTTTATTTTTAATTTTTTACTAAGCCTAGGTTTCCCTATGCTTTGCCTCTGGTGTGATACTTAAAGGGTGCTTTTTAGTCTCTCTTGTGTTGAGCAGCAATCAGGCATTTTTTCAGAGCTGTTCCTGCACCATCTCTATCCTCAGACAACTCAGAATTCATATGATACTACAGTACCTGGATCTTTACTTCGTTCTGGGCTCAAAAAGTGAGTTTTAGAGCAAGGACTGGGTTTGGGGAGGCAGAGGGGGATACCCTGAGTTTGATTTTTTTTTTTCATTGTTGTCATTTTTCTCCCTAAACAGAGGCACAGTTGGTGCAGGTGCAGTGGATTACTTATGAAAGAAGTTTTCTATTTAAAAACAAGAGAGACTTTAATGAGATCAGTAGAGGGTTTGTACAATAGGTATTGTATTAAACCAGAGCTCAGGCTTCACATTGATTGCGGTATTTAAATTTCAATGAGTTGATTATGTATGAGAGTAAAATGACCCGTATTATGAATGTACAAAAAAGGGACATGGAAGAGCTGTGCCAGAAAAGTGAGAAAAACGTTCCCTTTATAGTCCCTAGAGTTCAATAAAGCACCACTATTTCCCAGCTTTTAAAAGCTCTTTTATCACAATGGTTCATACCTCGCATTCCCTGGAGCCTGATTTGTTATACGTGCAGGGTCCCGTTCCATTCAGCAGCATCTCACTGGTCTCAGTGTTGGTGGGTTTGTAATCTACATAAAATTCCTGTGTGCTTGGAGTCATTTGCTTCAGTGACTGTCTTTTCTTTTTCCTGTGCCTTCGCATGAGAGAGCGCTGCTGCAGCTGCTTCATGCTGGCAGGGTAGCGCTTCCATGACACATAGATCACCAGCAGGATCACCAGCACCGACAGGAAGAGAGCCACGCTGCCTGCTATGATTTTGTGGAAGGAGATGTGCTCTGTGTCGTGCTCGGGCTCAGAGCTGGCTTCGGTGGCTCCCATAGTTGGGGGCACAGGGGGCTTGCTGTCGTGTTTAGGCCTGGTGAGTTTTGGTTTAAATGTTGGCTTTGGGAGAGCTCGTGCTAGTTCGAACCTTTCCGTGGTACTCTTGCCACAGATGCTGTAGTTTTTCACTGCATCAATAACATTCACCCCTTGCAGCTCTTTGGGGCTGGCACAAATAATTGTATTTTCCCTCAGCCCTTTAAAACTTTTAAGCCAGTTTACCAGAGAACAAATGTTTCTGCTGCATTCCCATATATTCCCGGCAAGGCTGATGTCATTGAGAGATATCCAAGAATCCAAAATTTCTTGACCAATAAATGTGAGCTTGTTTGAATCCAGGTTGAGGCGCTGTAAATTGGGCACACACTGAAAAACACTAGGTCCACTGAAAGCTTCTATTTCATTGCCAGATAAATCAAGTCTTTGTAATGAGCTCCAGGTCCAAGACATAGTTTGTCCTATCACACTGATTTTATTCCACTGTAAATAAAGGTTTTGAAGGCTGACTAGCCTTGGAAAAAGTGCCAGGTTGAGCTTAGAAAATTGATTGTGCTCCAGATGAAGCTCTTTCAGTCTGATCATACCTGCAAAGACATTCCTTGCTAAACTCCGGATGCGATTATAACCCAGGTCCAACAGTTCAAGGTTCCTGCAATCTTGAAATATTCGAACAGGGATGGTTCTTAGGGAATTGGAGCGCAAATGTAAACTCAGCAGCTTCCTTAAGCCCCTGAACTGTTCAGATCCCAGAGACTGCAGCTGATTGTATGACAGATCCAAATTCCGGAGATTTGTCACAGGTCTGAAGGTATTATTAAGAAAATAGGAGATTCTGTTGGAACTCAAGATCAACTCTTTTAGTCTGCGTATTCCACTGAAAGCATTTTCGTCAATATTGCTGATGTGGTTATGGTCTAAATAGAGCCAGGTGAGTTGATTAAGACCTTTAAATTGATTGTATTTTAGTTTTTGGAGGCTGTTATATCGAAGGGACAAACCTAAACAACCAGCAGATATACTTGAGGGAATCTCCTGCAATTTCTGAGATTCACAATATACCATTTTGCCTTCACACCTACAGCCCTTAGGGCATCCTCGTTCAGCAGAAGAAAGCATTGTCAGTAATACAGTAGGGGCTATTACCAGAGCTACAGCTGATCCGCTCAGTAGCCTAATTACATTGAAACCTGGAAATAAAAACAACTTAGAAAAGTTATCCCCCCACACATCAGTCATTTTTTTCAATCATGCTAATATCTTTTACTTCAGCAATCATTTACAAAGCCCTAGCTTGACTCGACTACTTTTCACATTGGGTTTTTTTTTTAAACTCAGCTTTTTTTTTTTTTGTTTGTTTTGTTTAAGAATACCTCAATATAACTACTGACAAATAGTTGGGTAAAAGGTGTAATCCCTAAGCTATTTAAGTATAATAACAAATCACATCAAGGTAAGTTTATGGAGTAATTAAAGCACAGGCTATGCAATAACTATGAACTATAAATTAAAAAGGTAACATGAAAAACATACCCATCCTTTGTGTTGTTCAAAGGTCGTCCTTAGGTCTTTTGTTTTTTGCTTAGTGTGCCACAAGCATGGCAGCCCCTGTCAGCTGCACTGTAGTGAGTCAGGGCTCGCTGACACCCAGGAAGAAAAATTGGACCCCTTGGGAGATGGACCGATTTTGGAACATTATTCTTTGCCAGCCGTGCAGAGCACTCCAAGAATAAATCAATCCCAACACAGCATTCGCAGCAAAACGTCAAATTCTTCCTAGGTAATAGGATCTTCACGGATATTACGGTTTTGCATCTTTCTAGTTAGGAACCTGGCTTTTAAAGCGTTGCTTCATAGGAGCGGCCGTCGGTGGGCGCAGCCCGCGGCGCTGCGCTCCGGGCGCTGCCGCCCCCGTGCCCCGGGCCCGCGGCTCGCTGCCGGCCGGGCGCGCCAGCTGCGGGGAGCCCGGCCCGGGACGCGGCTCCGCCGCTGCCGCGCTCGCATGCCGAGAGCTCCGGCCGACTGTGCGGGCTGGCGCCGGGCGCAGCCTTATGTAAAGCTGCCCCCAGCGGCAGCGGCACCGCGGGCATGTGCAGTGCCTGCCTTCCCTTGCAAATGAGCGAGCTCTCCCGGGAGAGCGGGCGCTGCTCGCTGCGCGGTGTGCACGGCTCCGTGTGCGCTGCCCGGGGTGCCGGGCTGCCCCGACCCTCTCTGCGTGCTCCTGAGTGCTGCCCTGCATCCCTGAGCTTAGAGCTCAGCGGCAGCTGCTGAGACTTTCGTCTTAAGGGCTGACGTGACGTTTGTAGGACATAGATACAAATTTTTGGTTGGAAAGATTTTTTTTTTTATTACATTAGATGTGTTCACATAACCTTTTTGTTCCACTCACTATTTTTCAGTGAAGTATCAGACCCCTCAGTGTGTCTCTTATCAAGTGCTTTAGAGTGGACTCTATTTTTTACAATGTGAAAAATGTTTTTGGGGTTGACATTTTCCATTTTTGCTTTTTTCTTCTCTGTTAAAAGGCTCAGTGCCAGGAGGTTAGAAGAGAGTACTGTGCTCATTTATTTCCCAACTTGCTGTCACTTTGTTCCACAACACTAACACTTCAACCACAGGCTTCCAGAGCCTTTACAGCACAGCGACTACGCAGCTTGGTGTAGTACCTTAATGAGGTGAATTGTTTTTACTGTTGTTCAGGACAGGGACAGGGTTTTATGTGAAGGTACAGTAATGCTGAGCTTTTTATATGTGTGATGCTCTACAGTCATCAAATACCACCAAGAGAGCCACCTTGTCTTTCCTGAGTTTTCCCTTCTTCCCTGCGTGCCGTGGGGAAAGAAAACATGCTCTCATCTGGGCAGAGCAAGGGTAAGATGGTGTTACAGCAAATCCACCATGCTGGCAGCCTTCCTTCACTGCGAAATATGTGATCACAGATGATGGCGGGCAAGTGGAAAATCCTGGCTCTTTTTCGTGCAAGAATGGGAAGGGGGCTGGGAAGAATTGTGCTGCTCCTTAGAAGAGGAGTGCAGAGTGCAGTCTTCAAATGCAGCCAGACAGTGCTGAGAACCACTTTGCCTTTCTGGGGGAGAAACTGTAGCCTTGGAATAATGTGCTCTGGCTTTTCCCTCATTATTCACTGCTATGAGAATAGAATAACTGAAAAATCTAAAATTTTCCAGGCATTAAAATGCCACCTTTGCTAGTATTTAGGCTGTGAATGACCTCAGGTTTACAGTAATCCCACAAGTATTAATGAACCAAACCAGAGCTCCCAACTGAGGAGTGCAGTCCTTCCTGGCTAACACCTACTAACATCTTTCATGTCAGAAATATATTCCTGTGTCACGGCACGTTCTGTGAGAGTTCTTCTCTTTGGGGCAGATTGGTGGAGAGGGAAAGGGTTAATTGCTCCATTAATCCCTGTCAGCTCACCATCTCCCATGCTCTGCTGCAGCTTGTTTGGGGCTCTGCAGTCTGCTCTGTAGGGTCAAGGAGCAGTGACAAACTGCAGAGTGCAGTGGGGACTGAGCTCTTCTGCTGACAGCGGTGTCACGTGCCAGCCTGGTGTCCTGGTATAGGCTTTCCATCACTGCCTTGGGGTGTCTCTGTTCTTGATGGAGCAGGAAGAAGACAGCTCAGACCTTTGGTAAGTCAATTTGTCTTTTGGAACTGCTGCTCTTCCTCCGTTGACAGTAGATGTCTGTGAGAGGTAAACTCTTTATTGAAATGACTCTTTTAGGTTCCTAAACTTAAATGGGCTGAAATTAGGTTTGTCTCTTCACCTGGTTCAAACACAGCATGTTAAATTTCCAATAACATCCACATCCTTTCTCCTGAAGAATTGATGAAACTTAGTGTATGGCTGGCACACAGCCTTCTTCCCAAACTTTGCCTGTTCTCTGGCTTTTCTTTTTTTTTTCTTTTTCTCCCTCCTCCACCTTCGTTATGGAGTTAACAAATAAGTTCTTGGCCACCATGAGTCAGCAGAGCTTCAGCAGCTTTCCTAGGGTTTTAATAATTGCCAATATACTGGACTAATAAGAGGGAACAGCCACTCTTTACCAAGAGTTATTTTCATTTTTCTGAAAGGGGTGAGACATCAAGATATGAACAGAGAGAGAATCAAATCTATGTTAATGGATTGCCAAATTGAATTTTCTTTACTGAGATCCTTTTTGAATTACACAAGCAGGAAAAGTGCCAGAGTTTTTTAAGATTACATTTCTGTGTCTTTATACAGCAGAATAAGTTCTTCTCCAGTTGTGGAAATAAAGCTCCCAGTATGAAACAAATCCCAGTATGAAACATTTCTTATAAAATTTTAGGCCAATCTGCCCATATAAACTATGACAAATAAAGAATTAAATTAAAAGCTGTGTTTTACATCAGAAGATACTTTTGCCTTGTATCAGCTACACCTTGTCTATCAGTGCACCCCCATGGGGTAACCATTCAACTCATGGAACTGGGCAACGAGACCTCGAGGCCCAAGTGGTTGCATTCTCTTATGAGTGAGCTGTGGAGAGCTTCCATTAGAACTAATCCTGTAACTCCTGAGTGCCCAAACCCAGGAGTCTGCTGCTGCCTGGTGTGGTTTTAGCTCGTGCTCTGTGTCAGTTCCTGTGCATCCATTCTGCAGGACAGTTGCTGTAGGCTCCCCTCTGTATCACTGCCAGGCAGCCCTGCCTCCTGTCCAGTCCTGGAGCAGCAGTTCCCAGGCAGGGGCAGGAGCCAGAAGGTGCAAGTGACCGAGGTCCCAGGGGCTTCGTGCTGACTGAACTTTAGTGCTCAGCAACAACGTTATTCCATCTGCCTGAGAGAAAAGTATTTTAGCCTATTCTGCAAAGAAAAACCTCTTAAGAAAAATACTATATTTATTTGTGTAGTCTTGAACACAAAGCTCAAGTCTGTGTTTTGGGGTTTCAGCCCTAAACATAAACTGAGACACCACAGAACCTGAGATGCTTCTAAGTTTTGAGTTTTATGACTCCATGACCACTCTTAATTTTTTCCTGGGCTTTTTCTGAGGGGAAAATGGCATAGATCAGGAAATACAGTGGCAAATGTTCTACTGGATAAGTCTTAACATCCATTCAGATGACAAGAGATGTGTTGGACAGAGCCTGTGATGAACACATAGTTTTCTTTGTCTACATAACAGAGAAGTTCACAGTTATTTGGAAATTATGCACTATGCTAAGGTAGTCATCGCTCTTGGTGTTAAACTTTCAGTAGTTTTTTTTATCTGTGTATTGTTCTAGATTTATTTCACTGCTATCTGATTTTGCACTAATTTGCTTCAGTTTAATTTCATGTTTGGTTTTGGGTTTTCTTACGTGGTTAAATTATAGTGTGTTTTCTTTTTCCATTCATTCTGGCTGAGTTCTCTGTACCTAATGAAACTTCCCTATGGAAAGCTTAGTATGAACTGCAGCCAAAATTGTAAGTTGTGAAAGAAAAAGTGGCATTCACTGTGAAAACCTGTTCATCTACAGAGCTGGTTTGGAATTGAAACTCTGCACAGAGAAAAGGGGAATCAGCAAATTGTGCATTTTTTAGGGTTATGAGAAGGCACCTGTAATAGCCAGGTACATCTGTTCGCTAAGTACATTTCAAAAAGGGAGGATGACAATTATCAGGCATCAGTAGAACGGGAGTGAGGGGGCAGGGAAGTGATGTAAACTTCCCAGAGTGTAAGAAACCAGGTGCTAGTAGGATTCCATGCAAATCAATCAAAAGCCTTCCTCTGTTCTGTCACATGGTTCACCTTAGCCTTCCTCAGGATATTCTGTGCTTACTCTTTAAAATCCATTTAATGATGATGTTACAGAGAAGAAAAAAGAAAAAAAATTAAAAAGTTTCTGTTACTCCCATGAGAAGTACATTCAGGAACTCAGTCTTAGCTTTTCTAGACACAGGGCATTATGTTCATAGTGCACAAACTTTGGAATTCAGACTAGAACAGAATACAGCTTTTTTCTGCTCACAGACAGAGCTCTCGGGTCTGGGAGTGCCTTTATGTGTGAATCACACATCCCTTTGGGGAGCTGTAGTTAGCAAGTGCCGCACTGTGTTCTGTTTGGGTTTATGAAGTGACACCATGTGTCCTTCCCTTGGCTTTATTCCCCTATAAAGGAGCCAGGAGTCAGCTGGGTTAGCAGTTGTAGCTTGCTCTCAATGGTACTGTGGTGTGCTATCACTGTATCGTTAGGAGAGATAAGTCTAATAAAATGTGTCTGCAATTTTTGAGCCAGTGATTAAATGAACCTGCTGTTCCATGAGGATCAGATTAGAGCTGGGGGCGTGCAACTCCCAGGGTAAATATCAGAGCGTGGGAGGGCACAGGGAAACTCAGGATGCAGCGCTGGCTGAAGGCAGACAGAGGGAGAGGGAAGTGTGAGAAAGCCAGGTTCAAGGAAGAAGGAGGCAAGGGAAGTCGAGGCAACAGAACATTTTCTGAAGAAATAGG